TCTTGACTTTAGAGATAGGGGTGGTAAAATTTTCTAAGAAAAACTTTTTTCAGAATAACTCTGATGTTGTTATACATATTATACATAAAAAATTGATTTTTTAATTAAATATTTGCATGTCAATATAAGAAACACCCTGTAAATCTGTAAATATTGACAAATAAAACAGTTGTTTACATAGAACATTTGTTTAATTTAAGTGAGAGAATATTCAGTAAGACTTACAAGTATTCAGTTGTAAAAAGGTGAAATAAATAAAAAAAACGAGTATTTTATCGATACGGAAATATCGATATCCTAAAACCGTACTTGTTATCGATAAATTATACCCATTTCTATATTTGACAACTGATCTAATCTAACCTCACAAATTTAGCCTAATATTTTCAATGGTTGATATTTTAACACATTGTTTATTATAGTTTAAAAATGGGTTTAAAAGTCAAAAAGAAAAACAATTTCAGCCGCAAACCAACCAGAAAAGAGTCTAGAAAAGAACAACGCCAAGCGAAAAAGTTAAAACGAAACGAGTACTTTTCAAAAAAGAAATTAAACTCGGGTGAAATTGTTACAACTGAGCATGTTAAAGAGAAGTTAAATAGAAAGGCTGAGAAAACTAAGAGTGATATAAAATCGGTTAAAACTGAGCCAAAAACTACAAAGAATAATGTAGGTAATAATAATATCATTGACAATGAACGTAAAAAGGAGAAAAAGCAACATAAGAAGCTTATTGACGATATGGCCAAACAAAGAAAAGACCAGTTATTGAAGGAAAATGAAAAAGAGGATCAGAATTTGAGGAAATTAGAGAAACAACTCAAATTGAACAAGAGGAAATCAAAAGCTATTCCGAAATCTTTTGTATCTGATGGTTTGGCATGTAAGTATACTACAATTTATGAACCATGATTTTGCCTTCCTCACATATTTAGATAATCTCTTTGTAATTGGGATTCTAGCTATGCTAATTTAATTTTTCTATTGATTTCGGGTAGTAGCTATTTTTAGTTTGTTATTTGTGCTTGTAGTTTTTTTATAATTTCAATATTTAATGAAGCATTCTTTATACATATATTTTTTAGATATTCTTGAAGCAACAGATTTAAATATGAAAGACATGGCATCAACTAGACAAGATCCTACTTGAAGTCAATGGCCAGTTGAAGAAGACTTTGAGGTTGATGACAGGCAAAAGCTATCTGGGAAGAAAAATAAACAAAAAATGATACTACTGAGAGTGATAGCGATGAGGAAGATGGGTTTGAAGATATATTAAAGGAAGATGAGTCCAGCGATGAATTGAATTCAAGATGAGTAAATAATTAAATGGTATTCAGTTACTGTGTATGTATTTTTGTGTAATATTTTTAGGGAACTCAGATTTTTCTGATAGTGATAGTGATATGCTCGAGGAAGAACAAGGTAACAAAAATCAGGGAAGAGAAGTTTTGATGATAGAGAAGGTGAATCAAGTAAGGAGAAAATTGTGAAAAATGAGGAGAGGTGATGAGTTTCAAGACAGTGGTAGCGAGAAGGTGATGATATGGATGCTGATGATAGTGAAAGAAAATGATTCAGATGAGGAAGATGATAGTGATAAAAAGGATGATGTTTGGGAAGATATTTATGGGAGACTGAGATCAAAAGCGGATCAATTATTACTGAGTCAGTAAAGTATTTTTTTGATTATTATACAGGGTTGTTCACCATACGACACAGGTATTGTAGCTAAGCGATTAGATTTACACATATTGTAAGTTTGTGTTCATTGAAGGACTATTAGAGCTAAAATTTAAAAATATTTTTACAAGATACAGAGTGTCCCAAATAAGTAAAAAATATTATAGTTGTATTTTTTAAATTGAACTGAAGTTTATTTATTGATCAAATCTTGTGTTGCAACAATAAACAAAATACTACATTATACAGAGTGTCTGAAAATTTATATAAATAATTACTAGCTTTAAACGGCAATAACTTCTTTAATTTAAATGGAACACCCTGTATATTTTATGAGAATCACATGCACAATTTAATTGTCTATCAAATTGTATTATACTATTTTTACCTATCTCTTCAAGTTTTCGTAGAAAATGCATTTTCTTATAATTTAGACCTCATTTATCACTATACCCATGGAATATTGACATTTTAGATTATTTTTAAAGATGTAACAAAGTTTTAAAGAGTACAGATACTAATATTGTTGATATAATGATTTGATTAAAGAATAAACAAAACTGATCCCAGAATTCAAACTACATTAATCAACGTAAACAGTCAATTACGTTGATTAATAATAATTGCTCCAAATATTAAAAAAAAATTATAATTTTATGCGTGTATTAGACAGTGTGGTAAAAAGTGTTACTTTTTATTTCATTTTTTTATGAATTACAACAGAGACGTTCATTTTCATAACTTATTATATTGATTTCTGAGTCAAATCCACATTTATTTAGAATATTTTATTAATTAAAACAGGTTAAATATGTAATTAACTAATTTTTGAGCGGAAATAATGGTGGTATATTTAATTGATATACAGGGTGTTTCAAAACAAATGCGAAAAACTTCAGGGGGTGATTCCTTGTTCAAAATAAAGGGTAGTTTGCTTTATAAACGTTGGGTCAAAAGTCAACCATTAGGGCGATATCGCGGTACAAAGATGGCGGAAAAATAATGTTTTTATTTTTTATCTTGAAAACGAAAAGCGATAGATTAATGAAATTTTATGGAAGCATTACTGTTATGAAAACACACTTTCTGGTAATTTTCTCACTTTTTTAAAACGAGTGTAAGGGGTTGAAATAAACTACCCCTATCATTCTTGTTAACAAATTTTAAAGAAAAATCTTCTTTAAACACATGCAAAAAAATCAATTTGGTTAGTTTAGTTTGTTTAGAAACTTTTTTATCTCTTGTGTTTTTTTGATAAAACTCACCGATATGAAATTAAAAAATAAAATGTAAAGCATTACATGTAAGAACAAAAAACATTTTTACATAAAGAATCTAGTAGGTTGCTGTAATTTTTTTAGGAAAAAATCTAGTCGGCCTCTGCCACTTTTTAGAATGTTTCTAATATTATTTTATTTACTCTACTGCAAATGTAACGATATTGTTCTGAGAAATAAAACTGTTTGACAGCAGCCCACTAGATTCTTTATTTAATAATGTTTTTGTCCTGACATGTGCTTTTACATTTTATTTTTTAATTTCAAATCGGTGAAACTCAAAAAACACAGAAAGGCTCAAAAAGCTAAGCACAAGTATTTTGCATGTGTTTGACTAAGGTACAAACTAGATTGGCACAAATGGGAAGCCGGATTTATTTCAACACTCCACTCGGTAAAGATAAGCCACCAGAGAAGTGAACAGCAGCAACAAAGCTCGTGAATATCGCGCAAATTTTCAAATATAAAATAAAAACATTGACTCCGCCATCTTTATTGCGATATCTGTCAGTTGACTTTGACAACAAGCTACCTATTTGAACAAGGCTGGTGCGGCCCCATTTAAAAGCACCTGTAGATCTCTCTTTTACAAATATTTAAATAGTTTTTTTTTGTAAACAAAGGGGCTTGCATAATTATTATTTTCACCACCTGTACATTTTGAACATTTGTTGCATTAATTTTTTTTAAATTTAAAAATAATTAATAAAATATTCTAAATAAATGTGGATTTGACTCAGAAATCAATATAATAAGTTATGAAAATGAACGTCTCTGTTGTAATTCATAAAAAAATGAAATAAAAAGTAACACTTTTTACCTAATCTTGTCTAATACACGCATAAAATTATTTTTTTTAGTATTTGGAGCAATTATTATTAATCAACGTAAACAGTCAATTAATGTAGTTTGAATTCTGGGATCAGTTTTGTTTATTCTTTAATCAAATCATTATATCGACAATATTAGTATCTGTACTCTTTAAAACTTTGTTACATCTTTAAAAATAATCTAAAATGTCAATATTCCATGGGTATAATGATAAATGAGGTCCAAATTATAAGAAAATGCATTTTCTACGAAAACTTGAAGAGATAGGTAAAAAATGGAACAATATAATTTGATAGACAATTACATTGTGCATCTGATCCACGTAAAATATATAGGGTGTACCATTTAAATTAAAGAAGTTATTGCCGTTTAAATCTAGTAATTATTTAATATAAATTTTTGGACACTCTGTATAAGGTAGTATAATTTTTATTATTGCAACACAATATCTGATCAATAAATAATCTTCAGTAAATATTTAGTATTAAAAACTTTGATACCCTCGGAGAAATGAAGCCTTAAATTTTTTACTGCAATTTTACAAAATTGAAAATATTTCAAAAACGGTAAGGATTAAGTGTGATAAACCTTAATCAAATTTACCTTTATTTCAATCGTAGAATCTAAAAATCGAATAATATACAGGGTGTTTCATTTAAAAAAATACAACTATAATATTTTTTATTTATTTGGGGCCCTCTGTATAGTAGGTACTCTGTATTAAATTTCATATTTGAGTTTTTTCCTCCCTTTTTTTTAATAAAATATGACAGCAGTGATAGAGCAGTGTGTTTTCATGATATACAGGGTGTCTTAAATATATTTCGACCCCGTTTATTTTAGAGTAATGAAAACAAATATATTCCACCAGCTATAAGGGCTAAAATGGAGTCTGCCGGTTCAGATGATAAGAAAAGAAATGAAAAATTGAACAGACTTAAAAAACAACTAAAAGGTATGCATAGAGTAAAAGAAATACAAATTTTATATTTAACGGTGTATTTTTGAAGGGTTGTTGAACAGATTGGCTGAGAGTAACATGCATAATATTGCATCGCAGATCGAGAGTCTTTATATGAATAATAGTAGGAATGATATGAATGAATCTTTGACATCGCTTGTCTTGGATTCTCTTGTCAGTAATGTGTCAACTCCAGAAAGATTACTGATGGAACATGTGCTATTGATAACTGTTTTGCATGCTAATGTTGGTACAGAAGTAGGTATGTAAAGAAAATATTTGTAAACATTTTATTGAATATAAACTTGCTCATACAATACTCTATACCCCTGTATAGAATTTCCTTCCTGCAACAGTGCGTCTGGTATCTGTAGCTCCTATAATAAATAACTTAGGAATTTTGTTTCAGTGCAAACAAGTATGTACTAGGATGTATTTCAGGCAAATATTATAAATGGAACACCCTGTATATTATTGCGTTTTTGGCTTTCTTTCAGATCACTTTACATAATCCTAAGATATGATATAGTCTATAAAATGAATAACTTTGAATTTTGACCGTTATTTTTTGCCAACATGGCAAATATAAAATCCATAGACTTAAAATAAAATATAGACTGAGCATCTCATTCATAAATAGCTGGAACATGCGGTCAGACACTGTCTTGTTATTGTTGTGTTGTGTTTGAGTTGCCGAGTACGACACGAGCGATAGTAGGTTGTCTCTGTCGTAACGGTCGTTCCCTGACGACTCTGCCGAGAAACACAACACTGTCTTTCGTTTCTCAAGTACACCTGAACTCTCCGTATCATAGCCGGGTAATTTTTTTATTTTAATGAAGCTATAAGTAAATTAAAAATATATCGTATTTAAACGTTTTTATATTTTATTAAGATTTAGGACAGGTTTTTTACATAAAAGTTTAGAAAAAACGTCTTAGAGTCCGAAAAGGATAAACATAATAAAATACACGTTATAGAAGAAATTTTATACTCGAAATTACGTAATTTTTGAAATTAATAATAAATTATTAATTTTAGTCAAACATTTACAACCCCTAATATTAATCAAAACAGGATCTATTCCACAGATATAATAGAATCGGCGACAGGGAGAGAAAAAAAAATATGATTGTTGTAATGTTTTTTCTGGTTAAGTGATGTCTTATTATGTAAATTAGAGAAAACATAAATCTGTTCCATTAAAGCAAGGAAGGTGATAGGAAGTGGATAAAATACAAACTACATTTATTTAACTCGGTACTGTCTTTATTATACCGGGTGCGTCTCAAAAGTGGCTCACCCCCCATAATTTTTTTATATTTTCAAATAAAAAAAACAAGATTGAGTATGTTAGTATATGAAATAAATTAGGATTGATTGACGCATTCAGTTGTTTTTGGTCACTTCCTGTTTCATCGGAAATGACTATAACTTTTTAATTTTTAAACGGCACCCGCGGTATATATATATTGACATTTTCGCATATGGTTTAATTGTAATTGTAACATGCGGTTCATAACGACAATTTGACTCGAAATACCAAGTGTGTGGTATCAATATATTCATAAAAAAATGCTTTTTCCAAATATGCTAATGAGTCACCCTTGTTCCATTTGAAAAAATTGACATATGTATCATTAAAAATACGATTTGTACATCTTTTAACCGGCCTAGACAAGACACGAAACCTATTAGACGATCAAAACTATTTTTCCAAAGCTCCTTGATTAAAACTTAGTGGACTGAAAAAAACTGGATTGAAATTTAAAATAGGATATGTTTTTAAGCGACAATGTCAAAAGTTGACATATGATGTCATTCTATTTAGAGTGTCATTTTTTATCGAATAAAGTAGCAATATACCGAGGGTGCCTTTAAAAATCAAAAGATGTAATCATTTCGGTGAAACAGGAAGAGACCAAAAACAATTGAATACGTCAATAAATCCTAATTAATGTCATATACCTACTAACATACAAATCTGTTTTTTTATCTGAAAAAATAAAAAAAGTTATAGGGTTGAGCCACTTTTGAGACGACCCGGTATAATAAAAAATATTGTTTCATAATGTAATATCATTTTAAAATTCTTGTATGTTATTTTAGATTCTGAAGATAATTTTAGAATAAACCGGAATATATTTTTAATAAAAACATTATTAATTATTAACAGGGTTATAATTATGATTTTGTTACAATGTAAGTAAGTAAATAATGTAATGTAAGAGAAAAAATTCAGATTTTACATTTTACTAAAATATTATCTAAATAAGCGCCTTTCTACAACAACGCCACTGACTCCCAATGGGTAAATTGAGAGTTGCCTACCGGTCAAAAGTCGTTTCAAGACTTAAATGGATTATTTAAGTCAAATTTCTTGCAAATTTGGCACTGGCGAACCATATTTTATAGTTCTTGAACAGAAAAAGTCAATAAAATAAACACTTAAGCACTACAAGCTAAGAAAATGCGTTAATACAGCCGGGGAGATAGCGGCAACAAAGCTTTACCGCACACGTGCGACACGTACTACAAGGTAATAAATGAATGAATAGGCTCCCTCGCCTCTAATCGGTGTTGTCATATTGTAAAGAACTTATCCTTTTTAAACAGTATCCGACTTATAATTTAGTAGTATAAGGACTATTTAATACATCTCTGGAATATTAAAACCTACTTTATTAAACTGTAGTATTAATATCTCAATATATGTGTATAACAAGAAAAAAAATATTGATAATATTAAAGACGTGACAACATAGGCTGGATGAGGAAGGCTCGGTCGACTGTACCCAGAAGTAAACATGTGTACAAAAAAGGTTGTTTGTCCGCGTTGAGATGTAAATAGTGTAGTCTATATTTTATTTTAAGTCTATGATAAAATCACTCTGTCAAAAAAGTTACTGATACTCTTTAAACTGACTGCCTGAACGAATCAGATAGGTAACTCTTTTTACTTTCGTGAAATAGAAAAGGAAAATAATAAAACAAGTGACAGTTCTTCCTCTTCTTGCAAAAATCAACACGAAATGTCATAATTGCCAAAAGTACAATGTCATCAGCTTTTGACATTTCTAAATATCAGACCAATGCCGGCTCTAATAGAACAGCCTCGGAGCGAGATTGATGACGTCACGCTAGTTAGATACTACCCTTGTTTATATATTCTTAAAGTTGGTCAACCTCTCGACAAAATGTGCTGCCTCTGGTGAACAAATCGTAAAGCTTTAAAGGAATGAAGCATGTGATTAGGGGCGGAGTCAAAAATATCGATTATTTGCGGATTTCCCTCAGAGTAATGTAATAATATAGCTCGGATTTTTGCGAACTATAATAGGGCTCAGCTGATTAAGAAATTTAAACAAAACTATTATTTCATTGTTGATTTTCGATTATTTTTGCTGTTATTTTAAGGATTCTAAACCGTATTTAACAAAGAAATAACAAATTTCAATATATTGGTACATTAATGCTAATTACTGGTAATTAATAATATTTAAAAAAAGTTACATACACTTACTTTATTTCGATTTGACCCAGGGCTATAAAATTTTATTTCATTCTTCGATCATTTTATTCTAAATTGAGGTTTTACGAATTTAAGATAATTTTTTTTTTGAAAACAAAACGTTTATACAATTTTTTTCTTAATTAAAAATAAAACTTGGCACTTGTTTCAATAATATTATTTGACATTTAAATAAATATTATGTACTTAATACACCATTTAAAATCTTTATTACACGAAATCTTTCTTAGCGTAAAACATGGTCAGAGCCAAGTTTGCTTTAACTTTGTACCATATGAAAAAAAAACGGCGTCCAGTTGGCAGGGAAATGACGATCGACGACATTTCCCACATAAATTTACATATAAAATAACAGCGATCTTCATTTCATAGCCATCGCTGACGCCGTTTATTTTCGATCAAGAATTATAAAAACTGAAAATATCATTATGTTTTAACTCACAAAGCCCGTTAAACCATAAAATTTTCTAGTATATTGTTTTATTAGGAGTAAAAATGACACTTTTCGTGGCGAGACTGTAGGTTTGACATACAGCCGAAGCACAAAAGTCATTTTTACTCCGAATAAAACATGCTATTTTTTTCAAACGCCACAAATAATGTTTTAAACAATTTCAAACGTTCCAAATAATATAAAAATATTTAAAACTCATACCTTGTAAGTAATTATCATGATACAAAAAAAACAAGGTATGATATTGCGCAGGTTGGTCACAGGTGATAAACGGCAATATTGGTCGGCAAGCTCCACGCGCCAATTTCAAATTTTCAAACAGATGACACATAATAAATGTGTATGTAACTTTTAGTTATGTGTCATAAGTTATGTGTCATAACTTTTCAAATGTCCAGCTCGATGATTTTACATAACTTTAGGGGTTATTTAATTCTTCCCTATTTTAGGTCTTTTTTTATTAGTGGCAATTGAACAATACGGATATTTTGTTGTATGGCATATGACGTTACGGCGATATGCGCAAACTGAACGAAATTGGAGACGCTATCGACCATACCTTGTTTTCAAGTTTTCTTTGTACCATGAGTAATTATATATCGAGAAACTATGGTTACGGCTCGTTGAATTTGAGACTTATGTCATTTTAATAATATATTTTCATACTTTTATGCTTAGGCGTAAAAGTGCTTTACTTTTATGCCTAGGCGTTAAAATGACTTTTTTATATTGTCAATCACGTCGCAAAAATTAATACGTTTGAAAAAAAATAATATTTTGAAACTGACTAGTATATTTTTCTGCCACAACAAAGTTATTATACAGTGATAAATGATAAGATCATATTGAAATACGCTACTGGGTAAAAAAAATTGGCTAAATTTTATTAATAATACTCCATTTCAAAAGTTATTTTCCAAAATAATTGATATTTTTTAATAATTGATTGCAATTAATATTATTTGACTAGTTTAATTTGATTAATTAATAAGACTAGATTAAAATACTTTAAAATGTGCATTCAGAAAGAAAAAATATCTCGAAAATTAACTAAACAAACATTTTTTTTTCTTATCAGTGAAAAACATCGACCTCGTCGGCCTTGCGGAATTTGTCGGGTATTTACAATGGTCGAATTGTATAATTACCAGCTTTTATAGCATATCTAATAGACAAAAAGTATCTGGTCGATTAGTAACCAATTGGCGCAGTCCGAAAATTATCGATTTTTATTTTCTCTGTTTTTATTGGCCGCTTCAAAATTCAGAGTAACAAAAAATATTTTTCTCTAGTAAAAGACTGTGAAATACGTCCCGCCATCTGGTGCTTTACATCCATTAACGTCTTAGGTTGAGCTACTTTATACAAGGGTAGCAGCAATGCAGTTATGCAACCAGTAATACACCTTGATCTTGACAATACTTTCATTTTTAGGTGCCCATTTTTTACAGTGTGTCATTGAAAAATTTCAATCATTTTTAAATAACGCTCAAAATGTTGAGGATAAATCTTTAGACAATGTGGTCAGTGTTTTGGCGCAAATGTATAATTTCAAAATCTTTGATGCAAAATTGTTATATGAAATTTTACAAAAATTAGCCGAAAATTTCGAGGAAAAAAACGTCGATTGTATTTTAAACGTTTTGAGATCGGTGGGTTTTGGATTGAGGAAGGACGATCCTCTAGCACTCAAAACGTTGATTTTGGAGCTTCAAAAACAGGCTGCTAGCGTCAGTGAAGGGAAAATTAACAAGTAGGTTTAATTTTTTGAATTGTTTTATATTTTTAATTTTAAATTATAGTCCTTACAGGATGAGTCAACGATAGTTTATTATTTCGTTTGTTTCGAGTGTTTAATTATTTTATTTTTTAATTTTCTGTTATTTTGATTGTTTTTGCTTTTTGATCATCCTGTATATAGTGACCTGCAACAGTGCATCGGGTATCACCCTGTACAGAGAAAGAATATATACAGGGTGGCCTGTATCTCCTTTTTTTTAAACTCTTTCTTTTGTAGCTCAAGAGTTAAATTTCTTCTTGATATAGTTCTGGCAATAAAAAATAACAACGTCACAAAAATACCGAATTATGATCCTTCATATTCTGAGCATTTGAAGAAAATTTCGAAAGGTTTTATCAGGAAAGGAAACTATGTGACTCAGCTTAATATTTCTTTGGAAGATTTACTTAAAGGTAAATAAATAGACTGAATTATTTTGTGTTTCTATTTTTATTGTTTTTATCATGTTATTTTTATTGTAGCTGATCAGAGAGGTAAATGGTGGGTTGTTGGATCTGCCTGGACTGGGAATCTGGAAAATAGAGAAAATAGTAAAAAAGAGGATAATAAAAACTCTGATAAATTCTCACAAAAACTATTGGAATTGGCTAGAAAACAGAGAATGAACACTGACAGTAGGAGAGATATATTTTGTATTATAATGTCTGCTGAGGTAAGTTTTATTAATATTTATGCATATAATTAACATTTTTTGTGAATTTTATTTTTTATTTAATTTTTTATTCTCTTATTTTTTTATTTCTTTTTTTTTTAATTTGTTTCATGTATTTCTTTATTTATTAATTTGTTATTGGGTCATTTCTATTAAATAACTTCAAAGTTCCCTTAAAATCCTTTGGTATGGGCGAATAAAAGTAGTAAAAATCCAGTTTTTTACGTGTAGAAAACTAGTTTTTAGCGCGTTAGGTATTTTACTTTTTTGTAAACAGAAAAACATATATTTTAAGGACTGTTGTTAATATTTTAATTTATTTTACTTTTGGTCTTTTTCTTGATAATATACATATATTTTTCACAGTTTTTTTTTATTTTTTTGATTTTTTCTTAATTTTTTATTTTTTTTTAAAAAATAACAAAGTAAAAAAAGTATTTTTTTAAGTAAAAAACTAGTTTTTGACGCGGTAGCTTTGTTTATCATTTGTAAACGTTACTAGAGCTATTTAAAAGTTGTTAATTGTTAATGATAGTTGTAAAAGACACATTTTAACTTATTTCATTATTTTTGGTCGTAAATTTAGGCAGAAACTATATAAAATATACGTTGAGCAGCAAGAAAAATGCCATTCTTCGTCTTTTTATACATTTTTCAAGAATTTTTTACATTTTTTACATGTATTTTACGCCAATACGTATAAAAAAGGTTAGAAACCCACAAACACCCATCCCTGTTTTAAAACAAGACACTAGATTGATGTCATTTTATTCTCGACCTTATTTTAACTATATTTAGTGTTGAAGTTCACTGAACAAATAGGAAAAAAGAGGGAAAATCTTTAGGATTCGATGTAATGTTAGTTGCATACCTTGTAAACGTTATTGTTAATCAACTCAGTAACATTGCCAACCAAATAAACTAAACTTATACCGTATAATCGAAAAATAAACAGTGTCCTGTTGGTTTGGAAATGACGATGCATGACTTCATTTCCGTGCCATCTCTGACACTGTTTTTTTTTCTCTCGATCGTATGGTAGTTTTTTATATTATTTTAGGATTATTTGGACGCTTTTGAAAAACTACTAAAACTAGGGCTGAAAAATCAACAAGAAAGAGATATAATTCACGTTATTTTACATTGTTGTTTGCAGGAGAAAACTTATAATCCTTACTATGCGGTTTTAGCTCAAAAATTTTGTGATTATGATAGAAAATTTCAGGTATTTTCTAAAATATAAAGATTTTCAGTAAATTTTTCATTAATTTTTTTTGTTTTTTTTAGATGACGATTAAATATTCTGTGTGGGATAAATTGAAAACTTTAAATGATCATTCAGGTGGTCAGATTTCGAATTTGGCCAAATTACTGACATATTTGTTTTTGGAAAAAGGTTTATCCATATCAACCCTCAAAGTAAGTACTTTTAACAAAGTAATTAGTTATAACATCTTGTTCATTTTCAGAAATCTGATATGAATATATTTTATTTAACGTTCAATAATAACTTTGAGACAAAATTAATATTGAACATTGGTCACTTCTAAAAGTAAGTTGCTCTTGTATTTTAAATGGAACACGCAGTATATTATTCTATTGATGCACACTGCATCACCAATTAATAGAATCATATAAATTCTTTCTCTTGTGGTATAAGTTTCAATTTTCAGCAAATTTCTGAGGTTTTTTTTTTCGTTTTGACTGATTCAAAATGATAACTAGTTTTGTTAAGGTTGAACTAATTTGACAGCTAAGTTGAAGTAACGTCAGACATATCACAACCACCTAGATTTTATCAAATAATAAAGATGTACTCACACTAAATCATGAAAATGAAAATATCTAGGAAAATATTTATTTTGTCTGAGGGGTAGGCAACATTAATACTATTTAAAGAGACCTAAATTCTCCACCGAATATCTGAATAATATACTGGGCGTTCCGTTTAAAATAAAAGAGTAACTTGCTTTTAAATGTGTTCAGTGTTCCATATTAATTTTGTCTCGCCCTGTATAACTTTTCGGGTTGAATTTTTATTTGGTTTAACATACAACGGTTGTTTTAACTAAATATCAGGCCATACAGGGTAAATTATAATTTAGGTAGCTGTTATTGAAATTTAAAATTTGTTCTTCGTTCTTCATGAAAAGTAAAATATGTCAAAAACCTTGCATTTTAGTCATATGCCTGTCTAATAAAACTCAGCTTTATTTTTCTCCTAGAATTCGAAAATATATTAATATACAGGGTGGTCCGGAAACTTCGGCAGCATATTATGCAGATAAAAATAAGTATCCTGTATCTCGGAAACGAAGAATTTTGGGACATACATTTATACGAACTTTTTTACTTATATTTATCTGCAGAATACGCTGCCGAGTTTCCGGAATACAGTTCGGACCACCCTGTATATGGTGGAACATTTCAAAAAACTCAATTTCGATGTGTTTACGTTACGTATTCTTTATATTTTTAAGAAACGTTCTAAATTATCCTACATTTATGGTCACAAAATTTCATTTCAAAATAAAAATTTTTGTCGTTCTCCTTGGAGTCTTCGCTTCGTATGAGAGGCACCACCCTGTATATCATTATAAACTATTTTAGATTGTGGAATTCGGCGAATTGGACAAAATAACTTTGAGATTCATGCGTCAAATTCTTTTGGGCGTCTTGCTTCATACCGATCTGGAATCGGTACAGGGTGTTTTCGATAAAGTGGCCCGCTCGGATAAACTGAAAATGTTCCGGGAAAGTTTGAGGCTTTTTATTCATCATTTTCTCCTGAAAAACCTGAAATCTGAAGCAGTGCCGGAGGATCAGAGGAAGGAGTTGCAGCAAAGGTGCAAAATGGTGGAGAAAATCTTAATGGCGAAGGAGAGTAGAGTCAGATTGTAAATATTGTTAATAATAATAGTTTTAATAAGTAAAAAAGCTTGTTGTTTTGGATTTTTTTAATTTTATTTTTCTGATATTTTTTACTAAATGTCGTGAAATTTACTTTAACTGTTATGATAGTTCCTAGGTTAAGAAGTTTTTGGACCATTGGGGTAAGTTCTTTATTTTGAAAATTATTTTTATATAGTCTGTAAAACGAATAACTTTGAATTTGACAGTTCCCGCGGGCTTTTCTAGTGTTAATATTATTAGGTTAGCAACTTGCGGCCATGCTGACGCAATGCCGTCTCTAATAGAACAGCCTCAGAGCTTTATGACGTCACGCTAGTTAGATACTACGGATTAATAAATATGTTGTAGAATACATGGAAAACATAATTATTCCTCGTATTTTTGGTTTGTATTTTAAAAATGATATAGTTTACATGAAATATACATAATATACAGTTAATAACTACATTATTGGCAGATAAACTATAAACCATACAAATGCAGCAAATGTTTTACAATATGGCTGAAATCGTACTCCATAGTCAATGTAGATAGTTTTTGTATTAAGAATAATAATTTAAAAAAATATGTGGTCATCTTTTGACAAGTTTATATTAGTTTATTAATTGCAGTAAACATTATAATATAATAATAAATTTTGTGATTGCAAATAATAATACATCACTCCTAGTAGATATTGAATGTTTTTTTATTAAATTAGATCGATTTTCAAACCACAAAATTTAAAATATATTTTACATTTTACCCATTATCTTATGTACCATCATGTATTCATTAATTGTATATTGTAAAACATTTGTGCTGTATTTGTATGGTTCATAGTTTATTTGGCAAAGAATTTATTACTATAAATAGGTATATATTATATTTTATTTATTAACTTTATATTATGTATATTTCATGTAAACTATATCATTTTTAAAATACAAACCAAAAATACGAGGAATAATTATATTTTCCATGTATTCTACAACATATTTATTAATCCGTAGTATCTAACTAGCGTGACGTCATAAATATCGCTCCGTGGCTGTTCTATTAGAGACGGCATTGGTCTAATATTTAGAAATGTCAAAAGCTGATGACATTTTACTTTTGTCAATTATGACATTTTGTGTTGATTTTTGCAAGAAGAGGAAGAACTGTCACTTGTTTTATTATTTTCCTTTTTTATTTCACGAAAGTAAAAAGAGTTACCTATCTGATTCGTTCAGGCACTCAGTTTAAAGAATATCAGTAACTTTTTTGACAGAGGGGTTTTATATATGCCATGTTGGTAAAAAATAACGGTCAAAATTCAAAGTTATTCATTTTATAGACTATAACAATATTTTTTATTTCTTAGCAAAATTTACCCTGTAAAATGTTTTTTTTTTCATAATTGTCTTTTCAAACATTATATTTTAATTTCTTGTGTGCCCCTGTATATCGCTGATATATTCTTTAGAGTGATAGTTACTGGTTAAGTTTTAAGGGTTTTCAAAAATTTTAGCATTGCAAACGGATCTGGACGTTTTAACTCCGTGGTCTGTATTTTAACGCATGGGACAGAGATAAATATAAATGACAGACAGAGACAAAATAAAAAGCGGCATACAGCGTTGCCGGTTTTTTCGTGGAGTACAAATTGAATGGGGCGGCGCTATACAGGGTGTTTCAAAACAAATGCGAAAAACTTCAGGGGGTGATTCCTTGTTCAAAATAAAGGGTAGTTTGCTTTATAAAACGTTGGATCAAAAGTCGACCATTAGGGAGATATCGCGGTACAAAGATGGCGGAAAAATAATGTTTTTATTTTTTATCTTGAAAACGAAAAGAGATAGACTAATGAAATTTTATGGAAGCATTACTGTTATGATAACACACTTTCTGGGAATTTTTTCACTTTTTTAAAATGAGTGGAAGGGGTTGAAATAAACTACCCCTATCATTCTTGTTAATGAAATTTAAAGAAAAATCTTATCAAACACATGCAAAAAAAATTAATTGTTATAGTTTAGTTTATTTAGAAACTTTTTTATCTCTTGTGTTTTTTTGATAAAACTCACCGATTTGAAATTAAAAAATAAAATGTAAAGCATTACATGTCAGGACAAAAAACATTTCAAGGAATCTAGTGGGAAGCTGTAATTTTTTTAGGAAAAAATCTAGTCGGCCGCTGTCACTTTTTAGGATGTTTCTAATATTGTTTTATTTGACATTACCCTACTGCAATACGTTATTATCTAGATTATTATTATTATCATTATTATCACCAGATTCTTAATCTAAAAATATTTTTAGTCCTGACATGTAATGCTTTACATTTTATTTTTTAATTTCAAATCGGTGAGTTTTGTAAAAAAAATACAAGAGATAAAAAAGTTTCTAAACAAACTAAACTATCCAAATTAATTTTTTTGCATGCGTTTGATAAGATTTTTCTTTAAATTTCGTTAACAAGAATGATAGGGGTAGTTTATTTCAACCCCTTCCACTCATTTTAAAAAAGTGAAAAAATTACCAGAGAGTGTGTTTTCATAACAGTAATGCTTCCATAAAATTTCATTAGTCTATCTCTTTTCGTTTTCAAGATAAAAAATAAGAACATTATTTTTCCGCCATCTTTGTACCGCGATATCTCCCTAATGGTTGAGTTTTGACCCAACGTTTATGAAGCAAACTACCCTTTATTTTGAACAAGGAATCACCCCCTGAAGTTTTTCGCATTTGTTTTGAAACACCCTGTATATCAAGCTATACAGGGTAAATTACAATTTAGGTAGCTGTTATTGAAATTTAAAAATTGTTCTTCATTAGTAGAAAACGTTAGATATGTCAAAAACCTTACATTTTAGTCATATGCCTCTCTAATAAAACTCAGCTTTATTTTTCTGCTAGCATCCGAAAAAAAATTAATATACCGGGTGCGTCTCAAAAGTGGCTCACCCCTATAACTTTTTTATTTTTTCAGTTAAGAAAACGAGATTTCGTATGTTAGTATATGATATAATATATTAAGATTGATTGACGTATTCAATTGTTTTCGGTCACTTCCTGTTTCGCCGGAAATGACAGCGTCGGTATTTCTCTACTTTGTTCGATAGAAAATATCACTCTGAATAAAATTACATATGATACGTTAACTTTTGACATTTTCGCATATGGTTTATTTGAAATTATAACTTGCGGTTCGTAACGAAAATTTGACTCGAAATACCAAGTGTACCAAGTATCAAATTATTCGTAAAAAAATGCTTTTTCTAAATATGCTAATGAGCCACCCTCATTCCATTTGAAAAAATTGAGATATGATTAAAAATATGATTTGAGCATTTTCTAACTGGTCAGAACAAGACACTAAAAACATCAGACGATCCAATCTATTTTTCCAAGGCTCCTTGATTAAGAATTAGTGTTTTTAACATAGCCATGGCACTGTAGATTGAAATTTAAAATACAATTTTTTATGAAGCGAGAATGTCAAAAGTTGACATATGATACGTCATTCTATTCAGAATGTCATTTTATATCGAATAAAGTAAAAAAATACCGAGGGCGTCATTTAAAAATTAAAAGTTGTAGTCATTTCCGGTGAAACAGGAAGTGACCAGAAACAATTGGATACGTCAATCAATTCTGATTTATGTAATATACTAACGTACCAAGTCTCGTTATTTTATAAAATACAAAAGTTATAGGGGTGAGCCACTTTCGAGTTCGAGTTTCCATTCACTATCTGAACGAACAAAGGAATGAAATTCGGTATATTTGGCATAGCGTAGCGTCAATTCAAGGGGATAGGTAACTGCAATTAATATGTTACCAACACAATAAAAAATGTTCTTGTTTTATTAAAGTCTTTAATTTTGAAGTTACAAAAATAAAATATACAAAAAATGTAACAGGTAAAAATCAAACCAATTTAAAAAAGAACTAAATTTAAAATTAAGATCAATTTTTCTAATATGCATATTTGCGAAAACTTTTTATTACATACTGTAACGTTTTTAGTTCGTTACATGTCTTTTTTATATATAATATATGATGTCTGGCCTATCATCACCGAATTCCCTCTCGTTCAGGCCGGATAGATTATTTGACGCGTAATTTTTACGTTCCCTGGTCGCCAACCCTGTGATCATTCGACACAACCCTGTTACTATTCTGGGGAGGCGCGCGCTCTCAACATCGCTTCTTTCAACTGTCTCCGTGCTTAAACTCACTTTGTTTTGACGCGCTGTTGTCTCCCAGCTTTTGGAAATGTTGATTATTTAAATCTTGCTGTATTATTTGAATCAGCTGCTATTTCGAGGCTACAGGGTAGAGTTACGGATGTCCCAACTTGTATTTTGTGTTTTGCTGGCACGTTGGCGTCCTTTTCTTTTGTCCTCCAAAATGTCACATGGAAGCGAAAGGAATGTTGTTTTTATTTATTGAGCCTCGGAAGTATTTCGAGGTAGTTTATTTTTTATTAACCTTGTTTGGTTTTTTAAACAAGAGTTTCATATTTTTAGGTACGGACTGTGTCCAGGGTACGGACTGTGTCCAGGTACGGACTGTGTCAAGGACGGATTATTTCCAAGGTTACGGCTGTGTCCAAGGTACGAACTGTGTCCAATGTACGGACTGTGGCGTTAGGTACGGGTAGTTCCTTATGTACAGACATTATCTTATGTACAGATGTCCTGTGGACGAGTGTCCCCCGTAAGAACGATTTTTTCTTACATCAAAGTGCCACAGCGTGGATGTAGATTGAGCCCCATGCTGCTTCACTCCCATTTCTAAGGCCTAGTCAGTAGCTACTGCTGTAAGGATTCATGGTGTCTCAATCTGGCCCTTTTGTTGTTTTGGCCAACAGGATGGCCGACAGACAGTACATAGATGCTAGACCACCTCACGTTGCTACTGTTTGAAGCAAGGTTGCATAAAGAACAGCTAAATGTATATTTAAGTTCTAGTATTTTACATTAACCATCTAAAATATTTTCAGTTTCTTAAACGTTAACGTACATTTTAAATAATATCGTAGCAGCCTATATTTG